TTCCCAGTGTAAGTCGCAGACGATCTAGTTGGGTCATGAATGTTGCTCCTGGTCGCCATAAGCAACATTCACTGGGTTATTGGGTTTTGAATGTTGCTCCTGGCCGACACAAGCAACATTCACCTGGGTAATTCGAAGTGTGTAGAGGAAATTTAGTATAGGAGGTAATATTATCAACCTTTGTATGGTGTAGAAATAGACAGCCCACCTAATTTCAAAGGGAATAGCACCACTTTGGCTTAGTAAATCCATAAATCCATGTGACTCGCTGATATCACAGGCATATCGAGTCATACAGTAAAACGCCGACACAACGAGAGTACAAGCCTTCTTTCTTAGTATTAGAAAGAGAGTTTTTTTTTTAGCTCCTCTGCTAAAACTCTGGATATAAAATCCAGAGAATACGTTTTGACCAATAGGACGCCATAAATTTTCACCACGGAATACATTCCCTTACTTGAACCAGGGTATGATACCGTGTGTCAAGAATAGCACCAAGCTCAAATAGACCTGCCACCTCGTCAACAACAACTTTTGACGATCACGATGGCGGTAATACAGCCAGCAATACAACCTCAGGTTGCGCTCAATAAAGTGAACTCCGGCAATTCTGCTAACTCGAGCTGGTTTAATACGCTCCTGCGTGCTTGGAAGCACCTTCAAGTCAGCTACTACGGCGGCAAGTATTCCATTGAGCGTTTGTTCGCACTCGACGAGTATTCAAAGAATACATCATCATTACGTGTGATCTGTGTGTGTATCGCGCCCCCTCTTCCGATAACTATACTTGTGACAATCCAAGAATTAGTACCGCTACAAGACCCAACCAAAGGCTGGAGACAAAATTATGGATTTTGGATTCGAGCTGCGATACTAGCACTGGTGATCTCTCGTGTGGTTGTGGATCAAATGAGGTATTTTATCGGTATTCCTATCTCATGGAGTCGGAAAGTTTTGCTTTCAGTATGCGCTGCAACTATCTTCACCATTGCCGCCGCATTCATTTCAGCGCACACAGCATTTCCTATTCCATTCTTTGTATTGACTATGGTCCCACTATTCTACCTGATCTGTGCTGTATTATTTCGTCTACTAGTGGGCGAGCGTGTTTTCCATCACATTCTGGCAAGTCGTATCGAGTTCGTCAGGTACCTAAAGTTTCTTGCTGCTGAGAATGTCGTAGCTTGCACGTATCCAGCGTACGAGGCGCTTTTCCGACTAGCACAAGGGACTCGCTATCAACTTTTGGCTATTTTTCTATTGCCTATTATGAAGATGGCTCTCAAGAATATGATGCTTAAGTGTGCAGTCCACATGGAAGATATGACCCCAGAAGCTGTGATATTCACAGTAGATTTCTTCAATGCTGTCTATGTTTCGTCGTGCATGCAGAGCGCTACGTCTCTCGTCTCTGTGGTTGCTATCATAGCCACAGATCTCTCACAAACAGCGTTTATGTTGTACGGGCTACACCAACGAACCATAAAAATCCGACAGAGACTTCGACAAACCATTGGGAGTTCGGAGCATGACAATCTGTTGGACGCACCTTGTTTTTTGTGCCAAAACCCTGAGAGATTTGAAGGACAAACTCGCAATGGCATTCAAGTATACTCGTGCCTTCCACATTTATTATCTGTGGAGAGTAAAAAGCTGTTGGTGAAGCTCGATCAAATACCGCAAGCTCGAAATTGTAGAGTTTCAAGATCCTCTAATTGTATTTGCAAGCTGCGCTTACCATATCGCGTTGAAACAATTCATCCTGTGATACATGATTCGGCAATACGAAGACAATCGTCAGCTACGAGGAGTCAAGGTGCAGGCAAGAACTCTGAATCATTTACAACACGCAGATTTGTCCTTGGAGAATCGCTCGAGATGCTGTTTTCCCTCGAATGTCTTGTCCTTACAGCTTACCTGGAAGCGGTGACTCCGATATTTTACTGCTGTTATGTGTTGGTGATGGTTCATCTTCCAAGCTCTCAATATCACATCGAACTGACTGGTATTACAAGCGACAATGCCGGATCAAAAGTCCAATCTCTCTTCGTATTTGGACTGTTTCAAGTTGCCTCCTTTTTTGTGTTGGCTCTGGTAATTAAGCGCAACTGCGGCATTAATGTGTTGCAGCATCTAGCGTTTGTAATGGAAACACAGACGTCATTAATCCAGGGGAAAGTCATGGGTTGGATGATCATCACTCTCTGCTTTCGTGTTGTTCACTTTGGTACGAACTGACTGGCACTCGATCTCGGCTTCATTGACTAATATTTTTTTTTATGTCTTGTTGTTATCTTGATGCAGGGGTGGATTTCACGTTTCAATTTAGCAGCTTGATTCGTTAGCAACGTTACGCTGTGACGCTTCTTGCCTCAACGCCTTATTGTTGCTCGAAGAGGAAAACAGCTACGTGATTGTGGTGCCTAGCGGAGGCGTTCTTAATCAGATCACTAATTTCTTCTGTGGATGCTTGTTGCTTATCTGATAAAAGTCTTGCCACTTGAATATGACCAGCTTCGGTGGCAGCAAGAAACGCTGTGGTAATTGCCTGACGAGACGCGCGATTGTAGCTCATGAACCACTCCACAATCTTTAAATACCCGTACTTGGCAGCATCAATAAATTCTGTCACGAAGAGCTCGTAAGGAATCCACTCTTGCCCCCACAGGAAGTTGGCAACGCCCATGTGATCGTTTTGTATTGCGGTCGCGAGCATATTGGCACCCAACGTCGGAGGCATAGTGTAACTCTTGCACACAGCTTTCACAAGAAGGATGTTATTGGAGTCAACGCCTTTCATGAAAACCCACACAGCCGCTGAGTGTGAGACATATTCTTCTCTGCAGAGGAACTCGACAATTTTAGCATAAACACGACAACGTTGGTGCTCGTTACTGCAAACTTTCACTGCGTGTTCGAATGTATGGCGTACAACGTCTGCCGATATCTGCTCCGTTTCGAGCAAAACCCGCATGATATCGACAGACTCAGTCATCGCGAATTCTTCCTCTAGCAACTCGAGAGATATATGCCCCGTGTTATAAAGTAATTTTCCAATCTCGAATGATCGAGCACGAAGAGCGCTTTTAAACCCCCGCCTCAATGTCCACAACGAAATATCTGCACGCGCGAGTAATAACATTAAGATATTGATGTGACGACAGGCTGCTGCGATCATGAAAACACGGTTGCTCGCTGCAGTTGTAACACGCCCCTTATTATAGATGAAGTGAACCATGTTTGTCCGACCTAGTTGTACCAGTGAGGTAAGCAAGTTATCCCTTATTCGAGCCGGGTAAGCAGCATAAGCAGCGTAAATCATGCCAGCAATATGTTCGTGTCCATTTTCCAGTGCTTCGTAGAATGCGTTATTGAACAACCGCTGAAATGATGGAGAGCACTGCAAATACTCTGACAGTTCATTTCGGCCAGGGTGTCTGGCTCCACTTGATAAGGATTGAGTCAGCACTCCGTCACGCCAATGTTCCCTCACATAGTTCTCGATTGCAAATTCCAAGATGTCGAGAAGTCCATTTGATGCCGCATTTCGTAGTATCCCGGGTAGAACTCGACGCGTTGCACCTTGTGTGTCCAACCAACTGTAAAGAAGCTTGACAATTCGAAGTTGGTTACTTTCCCCAATTGCAATTTCTATACACCACACACGCGTATCGGATCTTATCGTGTCTAACACTCGGCTCTGTTCGGCTTCAACAGCAGCGGTGACCACACTCACAATATCATATTCCAGGTCGTCGAGGAGACTCCTAACTCGTCCGACATTTCCCTCACGTGCTGCCTCCACTGCCACATCTGTTGTCGTCCATGCGAACTCGTCTATCAACTCGATAATGTGACGCTGGAGAATACCCAGAGTTCTCCAGACTAGAAGCAGCCACGTACGCATGTATGAATACTCTCGGTTTATCGAAGTCAGGGGAGCTTGGGCGAGAGCGCGCCAAAAGAATAGTGCCACCCCCGCAGTTTAGATGGATGGAAGCTACATCTGCTTGTATATTAATTACTATGTTTTTACATTCCATAGTACTAACAGCCCATTGCAATAATATAATAATATCACCCAATCAAATACACTCGTCAATTGCAGTCCTTCTATAGTTTCGGACGCTATGTCATACGCGATTCCGAGGTGATCGACATCCCGTCGAAGAGCTGAATGGTACTCTCGAGGGATAACCTGGTCGTGTACTCGCTTCGGTAGCGTCTTCATGACGTGTAACGCTCGATCGGACTCTGAATATCGATGCGTTAACGACGCAAAGCACAGTCTCTATGAACTCGGATGTTCCGGGTGACAGAGATGAATCGGAGCCAAACGGAGCTGCCAACTCGGACGGAACGCGGCCATCTGTACGCCAAGAAGCACTTGAGTCCCAGTACCCTTGACTCCATTGGGTACCAGACGACACCGTTCTCGATACAATACTTCTCCTCCTTCGAATCGCTTACCCCTCAACGCCTGCATCGTCGCCTCATAGTAACTCGTCTTCTGACTCACAAGCACATTGAGTACCTCGTTCATATGG